TAAAAACGACATGGGGGAAGCATAATATCTTTAACAGAATAGACTGACGAACATGATTCTCGAAACAATGTAGTAAAAGTTGGACACTGGCCGTTAGAAGAGAGAATCGAATCTATTTCCCTAGAAGAAAAGATGAAGATGATCAATAACTGAAGAAATGATCATTCATTCTGATGCAAGCTGAAAAAATAGGCATTAGGATATCCTCCATTTTTCTACATAATATCAGGATTAATTAATTCAATATACAAGAAAAGAATCAGCTGTTTGTATTTAACAGACTTTGTTTATAGCGCAGTGAAATCTGCCAGTTCAGAAAAACAATTGCTGGTTTCATTTTTTGCACGGTATCTTTCACACTCGCTAAAATAACTATTAACTCCAGATACTACCATCAACCTTTGTCGATTCACTGCTGGATTAAGGCCACTCCAAAACTTCACCAGACATATGTTTTATGCCATTTTCTAGCTCTAACTCTAACCATAAACTTCAAAAAAAAATTCGAGTAATAATTTGACGACCGAAGGTTGATAAATCTCGTTTTGCCTCTTTCTTCTACTCAGAAGAAAGATCGTCTGACTGAGAAGTTGAACAAATAATAACTGTGACAGTGGCGATGACGTCAGGCTCAATTCTCACTGTATTATCAGGATCAGTCGCCGTGATCTTCTTAGGACTGGTACATCAATGAACTGTGGCACAGGACGACTGCGCTCTTAAGCTGCTCCGCAGGAGGACAATCCTGCATGACAATCTGTCTTGTTTATACGCACTATAGTCTGCCTCTAAATAAACGCGTGAAATCCAGCCATAGGACTCCACTGCGAGTTTTGCGAAAGCTCTGCGCAGCAGATACACCTCACCAAAATCTATAACTAAGCAATCTAACCAACTCTTAACTTCCTTCTGCTGACACATTGTCGACAAAAACAGGTAAAGTAAACTACCTGCAGTCTTTTATTATCCAAAATAGAAGAGCAGAATACCTTCTTGAGAAATAAATTTTTAAGAAGAAAATTTGCCTTCATATGACAAAAGAATAGGATGAGATTTCTTATTACATATGGGAACGCAAAAACAAGTGTTGACAATAAAAAATGAGCCGTAAATTTGCATAATAAATAAATAATAAAAACACTGGCTAACACAAACCTGCGGTCCAACTAAACAGCCGCCATAAAAGTACATATACGCTGCGATTTCCAACAAGGTGGGGCGAGACGTACGAAGCTTGTCACTACAATGGTTCATGTCGGTTTTCTGCAACTAACTTCTTGCACATAATGAATGGAATGAAACTCCATTTACATATAACAATATCTACCTTGGCTTCCGCATCATCGTACAAATCGAAAATGAAACCAATGAGTCGAAGAGTCAACACGCAATGCGGAACTGTCCACTCCAAGTCATAGGCACCATTGTCCGTCATGACGTAGCCGATAGACAAGTAAGACTGAAAACAAGTAGCGTAGAGAATCTGACCTGTCGCACCAGAAACATAAAAGCGCCTACCATGAATACCACGTAGGCAAGCCACACAGAAGCCACTTTGCCGCCAAAGAGCCTGCATATTAAGTAGGCTAGTAACAACGCCACAACGGAATGCATGGCATCGAATCCTAAATTTTCTACAACTTAAGCAGCTTCCTAGTCA